TTCACAACTTCGGGCATTTCTATCTTTTTTGGCTTGGGATTTGGGCTTGGGATCTCGGGAATATGGTTTCGGGATTTTTTGGCTTGATATTTGGGCTGTCGGGCTGGCGGAATGGTTCCATAGATTAGTGGGGCAAGGTGTCTTGTAAGTTATTAGGGTCCCCTATTTTCGGAAGCCCCCATTTGTGTTAAGAAGCCAGGATCCCCGGACTCGTTCAGAGCCGCCCCTTTGTAGGTGCTGAATTCATCAACTCCGAGCTGGGCATGACCCTTGCAGATGCGACGGTGGACCAGCTCGGCACATGCGCTCGGCTCAGAGTTTCTCAGAGGGGCGCCCCAAACCCTAAACCCTAAACCCTAAACCCCAAACCCTAAACAGGGGGCTGCTGTGGTTGCCTTCAGGTGAGAAGGTCGTCGTGGAGAAGGAGAAGGCCGGCCCTTAGTGGTGAGAGACGAAAGGAATTGACCACTAATCTTCACTGCTGATCTTATGGGTCTTCTTTGTTGCTTTTGTCTACTGTTGTGAGGTCTTGTTCTCACTGTTTGATGCCCCAAAAATGCGGACTTTCAATGAGTCCTTTCGGGATCAGAACCGCAGTTTGCAGGCTGTGCTGGTGACCGACGGCAGCCATGCAGAGGCAGTGAAGGCCCTTGGGGCCTTCGGCCGAGTGGCAGATGGGCTTTCTATGGGGTTTAGGGTTTAGGGTTCTAGAGGGTTTAGGGTTAAGGGTTTAGGGTTTGCACGATGGCAGTTTGATTTTAGGGTTTTTGGACTTCGATGTTCGGACGCTCGTTGCAAACAGAGTGTCTTCTTTTTGGGGCCAGGAGCGCATCAAGCAGCTTGATCAGCAACTGGAAGAGACCGACAGCAGCTACGACCAGGAGAAGATCCAGGTGGGTCAGTCATGTGGGGCTTCTCAAAATGCGGGTCCCGAAATTGGGGTCCTAGTGTTTAAGGTTTAGAGTCTAGATGAGCATCCTACATTCTCTGAAACTCCGATATTTGTTTGGCTGTCGACGGCTGACGGCGTCGGGACGGCATGTAAAGTGCACGGCTGAAGGAGGCATTCAAGGGTGAGAGGAGAAGAAGCTGCAAGCCCGTTGGACACACAGCCGTATCGGTTCGAAGGAAGCAAGCGCATCCGAAGTCATTCGAAGACTGCTGGAAACTTGTCATACTGGGTAGCATATGGTAGCATGCCATCCACATATATCTTGCATGCATGTCTGATCGGAACTTGTGCAGCGGTTCTTGCAAACAGATCAAGCTGACGAGTTTGTCACATCTGAAGATGGTCTTGGTGCGGCTGCAGCATGCCACTATTCGAAGTGGTGTGGCCCAAGGGCATCGGGTATCGATCTGCGCCGGAACTGTCAGCAAAAGCGGAAGATCGACGACCGGCAAAGCGCGGTGATGTCGTGGGAAGCTCAGTGGCTCCCGTGATATGTGCAGAACCAACTGGAGCAGCAAAAACCACAACATGATTCTAAAGCTGGACAGTTGTGATACATGGCAACAAAAGCAACAATACGTGACCAGTAACGTAGTGATGGCAAGAACACGTCAGTTGGGTCTTTGGGTTCGGAGCGGTCCTCGTCAAAGCCAGCAGTCTTTTCTCTTGCTGGCATCAGTAGGGACACGCCCTTTGCGGCCGCCTTGTTGCCAAGGTAGAGGGTGAGGCTGTGGATGACTGGGTGAGGACTGAGGATGGCTACTACCTGCCCATACGAGGTCCTGATGGTCAGCAGCTCCTGAAACGGCAGGCGAGTGGGTGGGCTGTAGCGGTGTCAGCAGATGTGACTTCGTCCTGGCTGGCCCAAGTGCTGTTCAGACGATATGCTTGTGTGGTGATCACGTTGCCATTCCCCTAAGTAAGTCGTCAAAAGCCTTCAGGCGGAGATGATCCCCTGGGTAAACGACGTGGAGGAGCCGAGCACAGCTGCAAAGTCGGAAGTGCCGGCCCTCGACGAACTCGAGAGCCTCCACAAGAAATATGACAAAAAGCCCCTCGTCACAAGTCCTCGTCCCAGGTAAGAAAGGCCTAATGAGTCTAGTACAGTAGCCTCTTGTAACTTGGTTGATATTCTCGTCCAAGGTATGGGAAGCCCAAGAGTGCCGCTTCCGCATCTCCCTTCGGACCCATGGCTACGTCACATCTGGCGCATGAGAGCTACATGCAAGAGTTCCGACAGGGCTTGGAAGAGATGGGGGTGGACACCAGCAACGACCCCTACCTCAACGTCTATGCGCCCAAAGGGGCCGGAGGTGGCAGCCGTGGCGATTCCAAGTCCTTGACGAGGGGCACCCTTACGCGCAGCCGGGATCTTAGGGAAGTGAGAGAAGTGATTTGGTTCTTGCATGAGCAAGGAAAAAACTACTACCCCCCAAACCCCGAAACCTTGTAAACCCCAATCAAGAAACCCTTAAACCCTGTAAATGAACCCCAAGAGAGAAACCCCGACGTAAGTCCCCCCCCCCCCTGAGCCCTGCCTCTCGAGGTGGCGATTCGATCTCCCGGCCCAGCAGCCGCGGCTCCTTGGCCAAGGCAGCCCCGGCTCCTCGCAGCAAAGGTCTGGAGGCGATCGAAAGTTCTCATGTGCGGTGTAACGGAAGATATATATATATATACATATAACTATATAATGATATGATTATATAGTTATATACATATATATATATATATACATATACATATACACCCTAAACCTCTAGGACTCTAGGCCCTAAGCCCAATGCCTTTAAACCCTAAATCGTTGAAACTCAATACCTAGACCAACAAACCCTGCACCTGTAGGAGCTGCGTAAGACCTAACTAAGTACAGGTGTGGCTGGTGACTTCACTTCGACGCGTATTGCATGCTACCGGATTTTGTCTTATCTGTCCTGCGCGTCTGTCGACAACTACCTGTCTGTCTTTGTGTCGGAGTTTCAGACAGTAAGGGGCCCTTCTGCGTATGTCTCCTCGTCTGTCGACATCTAATGTCTGTCTTTGTGTCGGAGTTCAGACAGTAAGGGGCCCTAATCACCGCGTAAGGAACCCCTAATCCTTACACATCCCCATGAAGAGTCCCTGGCTTCAAGAACTCCGCAGTCGGATGCCCTATACCCTAAACTCCCAACCCCCCGCCACAAGAGACTCCTGCAAGTGGTCTTAGCTTGCAGCACCTTTTGGGTGGAATTATGGTCCCTTTCTTGGGTCCATAATATAATAGGGCACCTAATATTTAGGGTACCCAAGAAGGGACCCCAACTTTGACAACCACCCTTTTTGTAGGCAGGGATCGGCTCCATGCTTTCTGCCTGTGGAGCTGTCGTGGCAGCCTGGCCGGCAGGATGTCAGCTTTCGTTTGCATTTAGGGAGTTTCAGGTTCCCCGGGCTTTCCAGCGGCATGTTAGGGCCGTTAGGGTTTGGGATACTGTAAAGTCGTAAAGCTTGGCCCAAAATCCTCGCCCCCGTCAGTTATCTAGAATTTCCTGATATTTCCGGGAACGTTCCTGCGTCAGGTCACGCGGTCTGCTGCCAGTGGTACCGGTGCCAGGCAAGGCCGATAGACACTTCGGGTTTAGGGTTTAGGGCTTCAGGGTTTGGGATTCGAGTGGCCCGCACTCTCTTCTGCACTCGCTAAAGGTTTGGGGCTTGAAAAAATGCGGAGGAGGCTCGGGTCTGGACTTCTTGGCTACAGTAGCAGTCGCAGCGGGTTGCGGTTGCTGTCACTGTCACGAGTATTATCCTTTCATCACTGCTTCCTTCATTGCGTACTATACTCGTGCCCGTAGTCGAAGTGACGAAGTTTACGGTTGTTTAATGACACTTGGCCCGAGGTGGCGTGAAGGTCCCGGGAATGCCATCCTACCGGCAGCATGGCTGAAAAATCGGCGCTGCAGCCAGCTCTTCATACTTCTATGTATACATACATAATCATACATACATACGTACGTACATACATACATACATACATACATACATACGTACGTACATACATACATACATACATACATACACATACATACACATACAAATACAAATACAAATACAAATGCAAATACATATACATATACATATGCATGACATCCAAAGCCTTGGTGAGGTGAAGGAGTGGACCAGCGTGAAGCACGGCAAGGAAGTGCTCAACAGCTGCAACAGCGGCCGCGTGGCGGACCTTTCCGACCGAGACTTTTCACGAATTAAGCAATCACTGCAAGAGGACTAGCACGGGGATCATGGGCTTGCTCTGACACCTAAGGCAACATCATGTGCATGTCCCTGCAAGGAGACTTGGAGAGCATGTTGGGCCATACTGTGATGGGTGGCGTTCTTCTGGGCTGAGGTTCCAGGTGCTTTGCAAATGAAGTGTGCATCAAGTCAGGTGATCTTGCGGTGTGTGGCAGCGCCGACCATGGTTTGAAGGAGACACTCCGATGCGCTTCATCTGGGTGGTACCTGATCGTGCACAGCACATAGAAGCAGTCTTCCTTTATCGCCGTGAGCAGAACTTGGGGTACCTTATTTTGGGGGTCCTTATACTAAGGGTCCTACTATTTGGGGTACTATATTGCAAGGGCATGTGCCTGGCCTTGAGCCCCGATGTATGAGCAGCCCAGGATTAACGTGCGCTCTGGCACGGTGATGAGAAACCTTTACACCAAGAGGAAGCTTGGCTGAGTCACACTGTGGAGACCACAGCTAGTGTCAATAACTTACAGTAGGAATAGCATGAGTAGCTCGAATTCCAATCACAACTGGCCATGGTAGGAGTAATGGTATAGTTTCAGAGTACTCACATCTTTTGTTCGACACATCAAGGTTTGGCCACACAGAGTGGGTGACTACGGTGTCCCATTGTCGGGATGGTCGTATCATCTCCGGTGGCCTCGACAGCAAGCTCTGTCTTTGGCAGGCGCCATGTAGCCAATGCGGTGTTCCTCCGAACCTGCAGTCTTAAAATAAGAGGCCCCTTACTTAATGACTTAATGCAGGCTCTAGGATCCTACTATTCGGGTTTGCATATTGTAAGGCCCTTGCCTCAAACCTTCATTGCAGCTGCGCAGGCCTCGGGTGTATCCTGTGTTGACCTCACCGGCCATGTCGGCTCCATCAGCCGCGTGCGCGCGCATGCGACCCCCGGCAGAAAAGAAGATACCGATTCACTGGCTGTGTGACGAGGTTTGCTTCGTTGTTGCTACTGGTAATGCACGGCTTAACTACAGAAGTGCTATGGCTGCTAGGATTGTTGGCGGGAGAACTGCAGTCGATGGATGGCTTTCAGGATCCGGTTCCGAGGTGACCCCTCGATAAAGATGCCCTGAATCCCTTCGCCTTCTCAGCATCTGCCCGTTTTGTCCGGCTCTCAAGGCACATGGACATCGCCATCTCAGCCGCGTATGCAGCTTGGCTCAGGAGTCCTTCGAAGAGGAAAAGCCTAAACCCAAAACCCTAAATCCTAAACCCTAAACCCTAAACCGTCATGAACTTAAAGTGCGAGTCTGAGGATCGCACCTTGCGGGCGTGGGATTTGCGGAAGAAGACGGAGCTCGGCTGCTGCACAGGCATTTCTTAAGTGAAGACGTTGAGAACGTCTGAGAAAGTCATTCCATCGCTGAAACCTTGGCGTAGCTCCAGCATTCGCTGTGAGTCAATCTCGCGTGACATGCATGGGCGCAGGAAGGACCACGAAGGGTTTCTCAATCACAGGTCATGATGCCTCGATCACCGAGTTCGTTTGGGTGGATGATGTGGTTGCCAGTGGTGACCGTGCAGGCATGGTGCGCGTGAACCGGCGGCAAATTATGATTTACATCTGCCTACCCGGCTCCCCTCAATGACTCTGTTGGTGAACCAACACACCGTTTCGTCGCCGAATTTCGGTTCGTTCAGTGCCGTAGCCTCCTGTCTTGAGCAGCTCTGGCCAAGGTATGGGATGCCAGAACTGCGCAGCACATGGGAACGCTGCGTGGGCACAAAGGGCACATCACTGCGATGCTGGCCCTGCCGCAAGAGGGATCAGGCCAAGCGCTTGAAGGTTTGGGTGTTTGCCGTTTTGGGGCGTGAGGTTTATAGGGTTCGGGGTTTCAGGGTTTTGTGGTTTGGGGCCATTGGTTGAGGGATCATGCGAGGGCCTTACTGACCAGTGAACATCTCTGTTAGAACAAGGAATATTCCTCAGCCCTAGTTTGGTACATCCTCTTATAAGAAGGACCCGTGTGTAGATATCAGTCTCGCTTCCCTGCTTTGCCACAGGCGAGGAGGCTCAAAGCGGCAGCCCACACTCTGGCCTCATTGCGACAGGAGCAGTGCCAGGGGAGGGCAGGCCTCTGTTGGCAGCGTCAGAGCGTAAGGTCGCCTGAAGATACCTGGAGCCAGCCTTGCAGACGTAGCGCTCAGGGGGAGATGGCCCGAAAGATCGACGAGCGCCCAAAATGCCCGAAACCCTGCGCCCTAAACCCCAAAAACCTCTTTCCACCCCTTCACTTCAAACCCTAAACCTTAAACCCTAGACCCTAAACCCTAAACCCACAAAAAGTAGGGTTTAAACTGGCAATTGCAGGAGCCCAAGATGGCCAGCTCCGGATCTGGGATCTGCGGCAGAAGCTGCTCCTGGGCTCTTCTTGTTGGGCGGTAGTAGTGTTACCGGAATACAACTGGGTCCCAGGTGGTTTGCGGGGGGGTTAAGGGTTTCAAGAACTGAACCTAGCTACCACAACAGGCTTATGTATAGAGAATGATGTCCGATTCATGATCATCATACCTTAGGTTTGATACGTGAAACCAGGAGCACCAGCATCGAGCTTCAAGACTTGGATGAGTTCGTTACTAGAATAATTTGCGTTGCTCAGTTTGAAGTAAGTTCCTGAGCAAGAACCCAGGAACACCTATACCATGGCAGCACACCCAGGCGGCGCCATAAATGCACCTGGGACTGACTGGAGCGGGTCTTGTTGGGGTATAGGGGCATCATAGTATTCTGCTGTGACATACCCCCAGTCATACAGGCGGGGGATGCCAGAAGCAAGAAGGGGTGCCGGTTAGTTCTTTGCGGGTGCCGTCCCGCTTGGGTTTAGGGTTTCGGTGGTTAGGGTTTGGGGCTGAGCGTTTTTCGTTTGGGGTTCTTTGCATGAGACTTCGGCAGGTAGGCTGCTCAGTGGCAATGTAGCTCAACTTTGCCCTCACATCTAGGCACCAAGCTGCCTAGCATCGTGAGGGTGCTTGGAGGTTGCAGGCATCAGAGAAGCATTTTCCAACTCAGGAGATCGGCATCACCATGGGCAGCCCACCGGTGATTGTCACGGCTGGCGCGGATGGGCGACTGCTTGGTTTCGATCCGAGAGCCGCCTTTCAGCCGCTGTTCGAATTTGGTGACATCACTGCTGTGGCTTGCCAGCAAACAGTGGGCCTCAAGGAAGAGAGAACAAAGGCCCTTTTTGCCTGCATTCAGCATGTCTTGAATCCCTCCTCGGTTTGGCATGTGTTACCCTGAGGTCTCGGTGCACAAATCATGTCTTGCATGTGTATAGGGATGACATCGGTCTTTACATCGAAATGAGTTGTGGCGGCTGTGCTGTAGGCAGTACTTGCAGGTTTCAGGACGGATTGAGGACGAGACTACTGTGGGGTGATGCCACAGTAATATGCTTTTCTCCACAGCCAGCTAGTTGCTTCGTCGTTGAAACTTTCGATGCCGAGGGGCATTGCCATCTTGCTGTCAATGAATCGCCCGAGGGGTCCAATGAATGGTTGTGTTTGACCAGTAAGTTTTTTTGTTTACAGCTACTGTTGCTGTTCTCGTCCGGTACCCTCCCCGGGCGTTCAGGACTTCATTTATAGCATGTTGGTTCTCGACGATCTTGTCTTCACTGGAGATGGGCGTGGCCGAGTGGTTTGTTTCGACATCCGCAGAAACCAGAAGCTCTACGTCTTGGATGCCGGGCAGAATGCCATCCGGTGCCTTGCTGCCACAGAATCCTGCCTGGTCTGCGCTGGAGACGACGGGAATGCAATTATGTTTGACTTCTAAGAGCGGAATTGCGCAGTGCTCCAAGTGTCGCGTAGCTGAACCCCCCGCGGGTTTTTTTCTTCCAGGCTTTCGGCCTAAAAGGCCCTCCTGAAGCCTTTGTCTTCAGGACTGTTAATGATGGCAAGCAGTTAACGACCTTCGCCGGGTGGTGCTCCTTTGTGAAAGCAGGTCGAGTTGAGTGCAGAGTGCTGTCTTGAAGAAGTGGTTCCATGCAGCAGGACACCCGGTGATTTAGAGATATGTTAGGACTGTTAGGACATGTTAGGACTGAGACTGTCTGATAGCGAAGAAAAAGGAAGTGTCTCAAGCGACATGAGAGCTAGTTGCTACATCCTTTGCCAGCAGATGCGATATGCTGTTGCAGGCAGACGAGATGGATGCAGACGAAAACCCCGCCCCTCCGCTCCACCCACCAACGCAATTGAAAACTTCCCTGATAGGCTACAGAAGTTGAGTTTCTGTGATTGCGTGGCTTCCTGTAACGCTCTTTACAACTGAAAGCTTGCAGTTCTTGTTTAACCCCTTACTGCGCAGTTACGCATCATCAATGCCATATTGATTCTACAGTCTCTGCACGATTTGGCCAAGGTTGCATGTTGAGTTGGGGAAGTGGCGATGTGCAGCCCGCCAGGAACGAATTGCTTCGCTGGGTGGCGGCGTGGCAAAGATCAAGGTTGGCATGGCAAAATTACGCTCCACCAGCCGCTTCTTATCATTGTATTGTCATATATAGGTCATATAGTTATTACAATCAGGTTTACCATTGCGGCTGCTCCAGTTTTAAACCCACCACAAGTGCTAGTTGCTACTACTACTCCTCCTCCTACTGCTACTCCTCCTGCTGCTGCTACCACCAGTACTAACCGCTGCTGCTGCCGCCGCTGTTGCTGCTGCTACTGCTACCGCCCACCACCACCACCACCACCACCACCACCACCACCACCACCACGACCGCCGTGGTCAGGCATGCTCTTCACCAGAGTCACAGTCTGACAGTTCAATGCCGCGGCCTTCATGTCCCCCTGCGCCAGATTCTTGTAGGTGGGAGGTGCTACCGAGACGGAGGTCAACGACAAGAAGCCGCCGAGCTCGGAAAGCTTAGGTCCAGGGGTGTCGAGGTAAACTACGAGGTAACTACTTTGAATTGGCGAAAACTATATTGCGTATTATTACGTTTTCGGCACGTGTTTCAGTATTGGGACCCTATCGTGCCACCACGTCCACAAAGCCAGCAACAGCGACTCTTCTGAGGGTTTTCGGGCAGACTTCGGCAAGCGAGATGTTTGCTTCCCAGCTTCCTGAAAGAAGCCTCGTGCACCTCCGACCTCCCGAGGCTCCGATACACGGATGCCATCAGTGCAGTCCGCAGCGCGAAGGAAGCACGAAGGGGATCTGATCTGTCAAACAGAGATTTCGACCCCGAAGCGATGGGAATCTTGGAGTCTGACCAGAAGAGGGTGTCGAAACACGTTGTGATTGTGAAGCATCATCATTAGCCACCGTGGCTGCCTTGTATGCTAGTTGTGCCAAGGTATCCCCATAAACCTTGTGTGCATTTTTTGCTGTAGAGATGGCTGCGGCTGCTGTTATGTTGCGAGAAGCTCGAAGCACGCCGTCTTTGGATGCATCAGGGTGCTTTATTTTGTTTGACACGAACTATATTTCCGTTCATTCCGCTGAAACTTATCGTCATGTTCAAATTGGTATAAACAAGATTATCGCTGCCGAGTGTAACTCTGGTGAGGAGATGGGCATTGTTCCCGGCGGCGGAAGTGTGCTGATGTACCTGACGGCAGAGAAGTTCCTGGAGAAAGTGCAGAAGGCAATCACAAGTCGCAAGTCTGTGATACAATCCGGAACGGAGTGCTCAGACCTGAACTTCAAAGGGTCTTTCATTCGGATACTTGCATATACTGACACCAGACTCTGCTAAACATAGGCAAAGCATGACGAAGACAAGGTCATTGATGTTATCAGCGTTGTCAAACTTCTTAAGTCTTAATGTTGCAGCGAATAAGAGTTTAATTCTTGTTCTTGACACTGCTGTTGCTCAACAACTCTTTCAGGAGCTCCAGACGGAGGACGAGAAGAAGGGAGCCGAGCTCGTCTTCAAGTCGCTACAGGCCAGGTAACGATCACCGGATCCGGCTTAGGGTTCAGGGTGTAAAGTCGGGGATTCAGGGTTTGGGTTAGCTGAAGGCACACATTCACAAAATTCCCCCAGCCCTACGTCCCTGCATCCTAAACCCCCGAAGTTCTACACATCTCTAAACCCCCTAAACCCTAAACCTAAACCCATTAAACAAGCAAAAAAAACCCTAAACCCCCAATCTCTAAACCCTAAAAACCCCCAAAGCCGAAGATGCGCCCTGGGTAGGCTCCCATCCGGCAGATTGCGCGCAACGCTGGAGAGGACCCCAGCGAGGCAAGGCTACAAGCTTTTCAAGCTCTAATGTAGGGTTTAGGGTTTAGGGTTTAGGGTTTAGGGCAAATTATTACCAATATTATTTTGGTTTTGGGGGTTCCTTATTTCTCGTTCTAGTAGAATTGGCCCCAAAACCCTATTTAATTAAGGCCCCTACATTAAGGCCTTTCGGCCATGTAAACCTTGAGTCGACAATCCTGATTTCGTACCAGGATCTACAACACTTTAATTCCTGAGCCGTCAACTTACAATCACGCGGACAGACAAAGGTCGAATAACAGAAACAATCACGCACCATTTTGGGGTCGCACTTCCTTGTTCCGCCCCTTTGTGCGATTGCTGCAACTGGCCACGTCTGTCAAGGTAACTATATCAAACCTATCGCTTGACACCAAACAGGTGGTCTTCAACATCCGCGGCAAGGAGTTCGGGTACGGCTACAATGCCGCGACCAAGGCGGGAGCGAATGCCACACGGGCAGCGATCAAAGCTTTCAGGGTTTAACTGGTCTTCCTATCGAAGCTGGGGCACATATCGTCCATCGGATCCGGTGATGCATCCCCATACTGGGGCCCCGGTGAAGGCAAAACCCAAACCCTATAAACCCTACATTCCTTGAGGCCTTGCCAAACCTGAAGGACCTAAAGGCCTGACGCACTTCTGAGCAGGTCTATGAAGACCTGCTCAAGGCTGGTGTGGTGGATCCTGCCAAGGCCTTTGAGTCAATCCGGGGAGTTGTCCTAAGTTCTGAGGCGTCCGGGGTGGCCTGAAGAGCGTGGAAGAGTGAGTATATTCGGTTTTCTTGGGGTGATATGGGTTGGGCTGTAGGACTTTGGTGGTTTAGGACAACGCAGGAGCCTTGGTGGTTTAGGACAACGCAGGACGTAGGGATTTTGGGCTTCAGTCGAATTATCATCGATGAGAACTCTGCAGGAGTTGCCGGTATTGAATGTACCGAACAGATCCAAGGAACATGCAGGAACAGGCCCCTGGGCCTAGCCACAGTTGTTCTTGTCTTCGTGGTGTGCCTTCTACTCCGTGGTATACCAGAGTAGGTGACAAGATGTCAGACATCTATTGTCGGTGATTGTGTCTGTTTCCGTTTCTGCACATGCATGTGTTATGTACATCTGTTTGCAAGTATGTACATCTGCCCGCAACCACTGTATAGGAAGCAGGGCAGGCTACAGGCCGTGTAGGGCCTTGGGGTAAACTCGAAGAGTGCAGGTGGTGATCAACTCAGTCGTCAACGCGGCGTCCATTGCTGGCATGGCTCGGCACACAGCATTGAGAAAGACCCTTCATCGTGAGGATACCACTGATTATTTTTGCTAAGGCAGGTTTAGTAAAGCTACCATTTTCACCAGCTTGCTCAGTTTCCCGATCCTTCAAGCAGACCACCATGAGCACAGCTTGTGACAGTGATCTCCTTGCGGCCGCGAAGGTCCTGACGACTGATGCCATCGTCACGGACCTGCCGACCACGCCTGCACCAACTCCGGCGGGTGGCATGGGTGGCGGAATGGGCGGCATGGGGGGCATGGGGGGCATGGGCGGAATGGGAGGAATGCGCGCTCCTGAGATTGCGCTCTGCAGATTGTCCATCATGTGCTGGACTCTTGTCAGTTTGGATGTAGACAGCGGCACAACAGAAGATGAGCCTGTTTCGGTGAACCGAGTCACAAACGAGTGCATACTTGTGAACTCTGTCGAGGTACTGATTTCCTGACCGCGGGTGCTTGTCCTGTGTATCCGAAGAAGTATGGTAAGCGATTGCCGTCCTCTAGGTCTCTAGGTAGGCTCTCCGTTTCTTGCTTGCCCCAGCACAGTGTGCAGCACAAATGTGTATGCTGGACACCTGTTGCTGCTTGAAATTCTGACCCCTGGTGCTGCGTCAAATACGTACATGGCCAGGGAGAAGTTTTGTTCCATGTGAAGGCAGAAGACGATTGCAGAAGGAATCCCGCAAGTCACTCCGCCGACTAGTCTTCTGCCTTGCCACAGATATTTGGCTGCCGTCGCACCGGCTTGTAGACATCCTTTCCAGTGGACTGAAGTGCACGCCAGAAGTAGACCACAAGCACTCGTACAGCTCTCTGGATGCCTGCGCCGGGGGATGACAGCCCCCCATACTGAGCGTGTTCATGACCCAAAGACTCTTACCAGCCGCTTTTTGGTCACCAAGGTGCAGTTTGCGGCAAAGAGACGGTACAGCAGCGTCGGTGTTATAGTAGATGTTGACGAGGTTTGGCACAGTCCGGTCTGAAACAGTTCAGCACCGCAGCTTTCGGAACAAGCTCTCTCACAAACCCTGGCGGCCTGAAGCCCGATAACCTTAAACCCCAAGCCTAGGCCCTAAACCTCAACGTAGCAATGCATGATTCCTGATGGTGGAGAGTAGGATGGAAGCTGGTGCTTCAGTTGACTGGGATACGGTCTTCTCCTCAGACACGGAGGATGAAGCTGCAGGCAGGGCCAAAGCCGAGAAGAAAATGGGCATGGCCACGCAGAACAAGCAGAGCGGGAATCTTGGCCGCATTCTGTGATTCTCTTTGGCATCTCTTTGGCCAAAAGCATGCAGATACCATGATGAAGGTAATATGAAGGTTTTCTGGAATCCCCCCTATCGAGGTCGTTCGTGGAAATCGCAATGTAGGACTCTGATGTCTACGGGTTTCGTCGACTCGACTCGAAAGATTATAACTAGTCCCTGCTAATGTCACGTTGCTGGCTTAAGCAGACCCGAGGAATGCCCTCATGCAAGCAGGAAAGCTTTCCGAGGCAGAAGTCCTTTACAGGAAAGCCCTCTCTGCAATTTGGGCGCCCTATCGCCAGAGGAAGGATGCAGCTGCCGTGGCGCTGGGAGTTGCAGTGGACCTGAATCTGGCTTTGTGCTATTTGAAGCTGGAGCGCTGGGACGCTGCAAGGCGATCTGCGAGCAGGGCTTTGGAGGTGGAGCCTGAGAATCCCAAGGGCCTCTACCGCCGCGGCCTGGCGTCGGCGAGGCTGGACCTACTGGACGCCGCACACGACGATCTCTCGAAGGCCTGCTGTATTAACAGTATATGCCCGTCTTGCAGTCCATACATACTTGCAACACTTGCTGCAAGATTCCGAAACAGATATGTGGTAGTGGGCCCAAACACCCGAGTTCGAATTATGAAGGCCTGGCAGCACTCGCCGTCGCCGGACGTTCAGCAGGAGCTGCAGAGCATCCGCGAGCGCCGGGGCAGCAAAGCCGTGCCCCGCGGGTTCCTAAAGGAAGCCGGGGAGCCGAAGGAGGAGCTCGAAGAGGAGCCCAGGGTGGAGCCCAAAAATGAAGAGTCGCAGGAAGGGCCCCAGGAAGCTGTGGAGGATGAGAGCGACTGGGCTGTCACGGAACAGGTCGAAGATGCACTTTCCGAGGCCGGGAAGCTGCTTCTGGCCATCAGTGAGCGGCGTATCGCCTGCAGATCCCAGACGGAGGTCAAAACCCTCCTTCGCCAGTTGCTGGGCTCTTGATCTGCGGGAACTTGAACCTGGAGGGACTTCTTATTGTGGGATGATACTTACTCTGATATCCCGATTATTATTATTATTGTTACTGTTATTTGTATTATTGTTATTTATTGTTGTTATTATTGTTATCATCATTTTGATTATTATTATTATTATTATCATGGTGCCTTGTTTTCTAAGTTCCTTGCCTCAAACCCAGGCTGGAGGGCCTGTCGGAGCTGCTGCCCCAGGCGCAGGCGGCCATCGCCGCGGCGATCACGATCCCGGCGCCTGAGACGTTGGAGCCCAAGGATTGCTGCGAGCGCCGTGGCAGACATCTTGGATCGGGGTTCGGGCATTGAGGGGTTTAGGTTGTTTTTGGGGTTTGGGGTTTAGAACGTTGACGTCATTTTTGGTTTTACGATTTAGGGATTTAGGATTTTCCTGGTCCTGGTCCTTATTAACAGTGACGTAATCAGCGCACTCCCCAACTGTGGAACGAGTGGAAGAGTGTGAAACACCCACTGCCGCGGAAACGGTAGCGAGGTAGTGGAAAAGCATCTACAAAAGAAGCCATGGTCACGCATCTGCACCACTGAGTCCATTGAGCAGTACCACCAAGGGAACATATGCACACTTCTTGAACGATAAGCTCGTCAAGTTGTCGTGATGTTAGCACTGATCGTGAATCTTTGCTGGGTTCCACAGCCTTCCCCCCTAGACTCCCATAGGACCCTAAAGCTGAAGCCTCGACCCTCAAATACCCCTAAACCGTAAACCCTAAACCCTAAAGCCGTTTTTGCGTTACCTGGGGCGCAGCCCAGGCTCTTCGAGCGGATGGCCGAGGGCCTGTTGAGCTTCCGGCCCTTCTTCGCCCTGCAAGAGCGAAAGCCAGGGGAGTTTCAAAATCTACGGGTCTGCCGTCAGCTGGGTATCTGAGCTGCCGACTTTGGTAGGTTTTGGAGGCTCAGCTTGTCCAAGGCTTAAGTATGCGGCGCTATGAAAACGTGTCAGGAACTTCAAAACACGGGCTTTAAACGGAGCAAGGAACTAGGAACTATTTGCTTCAGTACCCTATCACATAAGGCTCGAAGGTGTGTCCCATGCCCTTAAACTCCAAAGCAAGCCCTAAGCATCCTACACCCCACTCCCCCGACCCCAAGAATCCTACACCCTGAACTCCCCGGCCCAACAACCGCTTAAGCAAAGGTACGAACCCGAAGTCGAAGAAAGCCTGGCCCCGAAGCTTCGACGTGGAGCTGATCCGCTGGGGCGAGGCGAAAGCTGCGACTCCGGGGGACTCTTCGTGCGTGTCTAGGGGTTTAGGGTCTAGTGCGTGTCTAGGGCTTAGGGTACTGATGCACCTATTCTAGCAAAAGTTGCCATCATGAAGGATAAGGGGTTTGTATCGCACTTGTTACAGAGGGTGTTTAGGGCAAGGAGCTTTGCGGGCTTCTTAGATTGAGTTGAGAGGGTGTTTATTGAGGGTGCACCAGAACTCAGTTCACGTCACCAGAAGCAGGAGAATATTGATCTTCTTAACTCCGTGCCCTACTGTGGTAGCTTGGATTCAGCAAGAACCCAGGACTTCGCGGAAGCGCTCTTCCCCCCCAGCGGGAAGCCACCCAACAAGGCCGCGGCCAGGTGGCAGCTGGAGGTCTTCTTCCGAGTTTTCCAGAAGGATGCCGGGAACTACGTTGCGGGTGCGGTGTGGCTGCTCCTGCGCGAGGCCCTGCAGCGTGGACTTCCGCTGCAGGTGAAGGGCCGGGCCATCGTGGACGTGGGTTTCGAGGGGCCGTTCTTTAGCAAAGGTTTCGATGTTATAACAGCATTATTGTTATAGCAGATCCTTAATTAAGGAGGACTGATGTTATAGTACTCGTACCAGTATCATTGATCCTCATAAGGAGGACTTCGTGACTCGTGGCTAGGTGAGTTTGAGGCCTCCGAGAAGAGCCCAGGTTTGTCCCAGGGTATGTTCTTCGAAGCTCCCGAGAAGCACGGGCCCGCAGCTGAAAGAGACTGGGCTCTTGTTCAGGAGCTTAATCTAAGTTACTCTACCATAATAGGGATCTATAGTAAAGGGTATTGTGGTAGTTTCCTTATCATAGTAACTAATAAATTAGATCCCTTGCAGTTTCCTTATCATAGTAACTCATAAATTAGATCCGTTTCCTTATCATACTAACTAAATTACATAGATCCCCTTAACAAGAACCCTAAACCCTAAACCCTAAACCCTAAACCCTAAACCCTAAACCCTTAACAAGAACCCAGGAGAGGACCAGGCTCCCCAGGACTCTCTGGCCATCTGCAGTGGGGAAGACCGGCGCTTAATCCTCGTCCCAACCTTCACCACGGTGGGTGTGCCTCACAAATGGCTCCTCCTGAAGAGCGAAGATCAGCAGGTCCTGGTTTGGGGTTTGGGGTTTAGGGTTTAGGGTTCAGGGTTAAGGGTTAAAGGTTTAGGGTTCAGGGTTTAGGGTTCAGGGTTTAGGGTTTACAGGTGATGGCTGCCGACCTTTGCTCTGGAGCTCTGGGTCTCTTGGACTCTGGCTCCGGGCTGAGCCCGGTCCGTGTCTGGGATTCTCACAGCGACCCGAGATACGTGGTCCGCTGCTCTGCCTGGGGCGAGGATGCGCGGCTACTGGCCCGGCCGCCAAAAGTGGGCGGGTCTTCTGGGGCAGCGCAGATGCGGTTGGCCGTCGGATCGCTGCTTGCAGCAAGTGGATTGGGCTGGGATGCAAGACTGGGCGATGAACTTGCTGAATCCCTTACGCAAGAGCCTTCGACTATGCAGCTGTACGAAGACGACACCTTAGAAACTGCAAGGAGACTTCACAATGCCATCACTCTACTGGGGCTGTCTACCCCGCTTCCCTCTTCCTTTCTGGAGGCTGCTTCTGACGAGGACATTGCAGCTGTGCATGCAGCCCCTCGGCCACCTTCCAGATCTATGATTCTGGGATTATTGCTATAGGCACTGGAAGCTTCTTGAAGGTGTGGCCCAACGGAGCTTAATCTCAGAGCTAAAATGACTCTGTCTCGATGCTGTGGCTTGACCTCGAAGGATAGCCGATGTCATCCAGCCTTTTCATCTTAGGCCCTATCTCAGCCTGTCCATCCATCCATCCGTCCATCCATCCATCCATCCATCCATCCATGAATCCATCGATCGATCTAGCTGTCTATCTATCCAGCCAGCCAGCCAGCCAGCCAGCCACCCACCCACCCACCCACC